AAGCAGATCAAGAAGTACTATATCCCATTTATAACACTGATGTTGAACAGGATATCATTAAATCAAAAACTACTATTGATGCAGGATGGGAAACACTCTGAGAAAATCTGTTAAGTATAACTAGAAAGTTTCTTCTCTGGAATTCACTAGGAAAAAGAAACAGAGAGCGATTAAAAATATACAATGAAGAGAAAGTTGAGATGAGTCAAGAATTGACATCACAGCACTCGGGGCATTCCCATGTGTCCTCCGTCCGTATCTTCAGTAGCCACACAGAGTCCAGTATATAGTATCAGGAATCTCATTATATGAGTTAGAAAGCCGACCAACTGGTTAGGTGCCTCATTGCCATAATAATGACAGCTTTTTCCCAAACAGTCATGACCACATCTGCCTTGTCATGTATCAGTTCACCACACAGTAATGCGAATCCAGCCAATCTGTCTGCCTGTTCATTCCCCACCACACCAGCATGACCTAGAAAAAAGATCAAAAGTATGCTCACTACCTGTGACCTTCCAAGTGAAGCTTGCCACTCTGCTCGAAGCATCCCTGTCTTCACCTTTCTCAACATGCTTTCAGAGCCTTTAACAATTATGACATGCTAAAGCTAAAGTCGGGAGATGTGAATCAGCGTCATTGCACACGATTATAAACCATAAGTGCTCTGCCACCAGTATGGACAGCTGATAAGAAGCTGTCCGCCTGTGTCACCGTCCGCGCGTAACTCTGTAGCTACAGCGACGTTTCTACATTTAACTCAGAGTGTCACTCTAGTACCCATTTCCTAGAAGCTGGGTGAACCCCGGGAACTGCTTGGTTTTCGAATACCGACCATGGCTGCAGCGAGTCAGCTGTATTTGAAAATGAGCCTCCTATCATATTTATGCATCTTGTTCTCTAGCCACCGGAAAGCTGCAGTTATCGCCTCCACCTCTATTCTCATTCTAGATGTTGTGGTATCGTATGCTAGGCTGTCCTGCACTAAAGATTTTCCACTGGATTTTGCTACGAACCCCTGGGAACTTCTCTTCCCTCTCAACACCGAACCATCTGTAAGATTATCTCGGCGAGAACTGTTGTGAATCAACCGTTGGACTTCACCGTAGCACCCGATGGCCACTCTACACTCCTGGAAAAATGTGATAACAACCCTATACAGGTGAGACCTTACCTCTGGTACTCTGACCCACTCCTCTCCTCGCCCTAATGTTCTTCAGCATGCATACTTGTCTTATGGTGTTTTCTGTTTGAGCCAACCACGATTTTCCCCTTTTCAGTTATCTGCAGGCAAAGCTTCATACAGAGGGTGTTCTTTGTCTGCAGCTACTCTGAGGTATGACTTAGCCTGCAGCACCTTTAGCCTTTGGCAATGCAAGGATGTATCTCATGCACACAGTCGGGGTGTCTTGTACATCCCATGGTTTCTATAGCTGACTCTTCGATACAGCGAGTAACCCCAATCCACAATCAGTCACTGAAATGATTAAATGCTGGTAAAATGTTAACAGCATTCTCTGCTCCATGTCCATCGCTGCCATAATCTTTAGTGCATTAAGATCTTTTTTGAGCTTGTGTAACAACCTTCTCTATGTGGTCCTTGAAAGACCAGCTTCTGTCAAATGTGATTCCCAGGTACCGCAGTCTGCTGCCTTTTTTTTGATGTCCCTGCCATGTATTTTGAGCCTGTAAACATCAGCTCTATAGTCCTGTTGTCCAAAGAACACTCCAGGACGGTTGCCTTTTCTGGGTTGATTACAGCACTCATCTCTATACAACAGTCGATCACCTTATCTAATGTTGCCTGTAACTCTTCAGCTATTTTATTTCGATCTCTCCCCTTCCTATGTGAGAGAACGTCATCTGCATTCATCTACGTCAATATTCTACCAACGCCAGGTGTTTTCACTGTCCTCAATCTTGCTCGTAAAAAATTGGAACAGTACAGGTGAAATTGCAGATTCCTGTGGTAGTCCTGGAGTATAATACATGGTTCAGAGGTTCATGAACCCAAGCGGAAAGCTACCCGACGAGACTACAAAACAGCTGCTAACGAGTTCACCAACCAAGGACATATTCTCTTCTCCAAAAGCGCTTTCATCAAGATACTATATCTAACCATGGAGGCTGCACGAAAATAGAACTGCTTGTCCTCTTACATGCCCTCTGTCGGAGGCGTCAAAGAAAGGTGTTTGTCCGCGCACACTCAAAAGACCTATGAGCTCTTAAAGCCTTGACTTTCCTTGATTTGGAGATCAGTACCGAATATGGCAGATGGTCACTTCCATGATCGCCCAGAACCGTCCATTTGGTTTCCAGTACTGCTGACTGGGTAACCAAAGCCAGGTCAATAGCCATGTCTGCATCGCCGGTCCTCAGTCCCAGACAAGTTGGCCTCCCATAATTTAAGCAAAGTCTGAATCTACCATGGCGTCCGCAAGGACAACTCCCTGTCGGTTTTCCCCAGTACTGTTCCATTCATTGTTCCGTGCATTGAAATCCCCACAAATAAGCAGCCTGTGGCCAAGGATCCCCTCTAGGTCTTTCAGACAGTCCGACTGTTGCTTTGTAACTAATGAGCCCACGACAGCATATACATTTATTATATTCTAACGTAGGCCGCCAATCTCCATCTGTATTCCCTGCACCTCTGTAGCATCATGATTCCAAAGACCCAGGTCAAGCATCACATGGTTCAATCCTTCCTTCACTAGCAGACATTGTCCATGTTTCACATGTCCAGCAGGGTTTACGTAGCTGACATATCCAGGGCAATGATATGTAACTGCATTCAGCTCTTGAAGCATGATTACATCAAAATCACATATCAACCAGAAGTACACTCTTACATGGTTTGAACCTAGCCGCTCTGTTTTGCGCCTAAATCCTTTGGCTCATGCCCTTCCATTTCTCTGCTTTCTTCTCTCACCATTTCCTCGACAATGAAGAGAATTAGTAAGTGATGACTAAAAAGAGTAAAACTTGGAGGGAGGTGCCAAAAGTTTAACAGTGGAATGAGTTAGTTAAGGGCCTCTGTTCAAATTAAACATATTGGTGTAACCTCTCCTTTGGAGTAAACAAGGCCGACAGAGTTAGGGATTATGCTGTACAGTCAACATATGGGTCTACACTACTGTCCAGACTTTATGCTATGAAGAGGAGAAACTTCATCCCTGGTTTTCCATTTGCCGTGAGCTGTGACTGCCATGCCTCCCTATCTTTAGTTGGCATCTTTCTGTCTTTCCCAGTGTTACACTGTGCTAAGAGGAGTCATGGGACTCACTGCCCATGGGGATGGCAAGTAGGACTAGTGAGACCCGTCCGATACCTCCTCTCTAGTACAAAGCCTGGGCAGCATTGTAGAGACCATTTGTTGCACATGTATCGTGATCACTCTTTCGACCTGCCTTGTTTACTTAAAATGAAAGGTAACATCAGTACATTTAGAACAAAACAGGCTGAAGAAGCTACCAGATGAGAAGAGCAGTTCTCTATCTGTCCACATGTCGTTGCTTCCCTCGTAGACCAGCTGTCAGCCAAACCTGAGGGTCTGGTCTGCCCTGTCATAAAATAAAAGTTTTAAGGCTACATTTCCTCTTCCTAGGATAAGGCTAGTATCCTCCCCAGAGCACTCCTAAATCCAAAGCTGTAGGCATAAATAATATGGGATGTCTGGTTTGGTTTACACCGTGCAACAGTGGGCGTTAACAGAAGACAGGTGGTACCAGCTACTGCTACACGGTAACTCAGTCATGTGATCTACGATCTGTACAGTTATGCCTCACTATAACACAACATAATACTACTGTATGTACACATAGAAAGGTGCGAAAAAGGCATTTTCACACAGAGGATAAAAGATGAAAGAAGCTGAATACCAAATTAGATTTGTATAAAACAGATTGATGTTACCTCACTGCAGGTTGGATGTATGCCGATCGTTGTATCAAAATCCTCTTTGGTTGCCCCTATCTTCATGGCTACAGCAAATCCTTGTGTGATTTCTCCCGCATTGGGCCCCACGACATGAAAACCAACAATGCGCTCCTGAAGTAATTTATAAGGATTATTTATATATTATTATCGCACCAATTATAACATGTAAGAATCCAGCTGGATAATGTAACAAAGGTGCTGAGATGGAAATTAGTTGTAGAAATATAATAAATCAGCAAAAATGAAACAAAACACAAATGGAAAAGTTTCGCTTTAAGTGTTACTACTAATTTTAGCCTAACCAGCAGGCACTTCAGTTTGCATAAAGATAGAATATTGATGCATATTGCCACCGCTTCTATAAATGTCACTTGGGTGTGTGAGTTACACAGAACAGACTTTCTATACCAGTGACAGGCCTTGACCCCTGAAAATGGTATAATTTCTGGTTGATAAAAATAATGATTTTCTGAAGTTTCTAAAACTATACGGATGTAATGCACTGTAATAAATAGGATGTTTACAATTTACAACCAAAGCAAAATAAAATGAAAATGTTCTGGATTCTGTTATAAATGCTGTAAACAAGAAATGCACAATTATGTCCAAAATAAAACTGAAGGAGAAGAAGAAGAATTGGATACAGGATTATAAGCAGAGAATACGTACACAGTCGTCCCCATGTAGGATGCAATTTTTCGTTATTTGAAGCCCCACCCTGGCTTTGCCGGGGATCCTGAATATAGCCGGGCTATAAACCTGGCCTAATGGCTGAAAGGGGTTTCTGGGACCTCTCCACGGGTGATCTTTATCCGCATGGTTGCACTTTGTGTCACCGGGTGTTTATCGCTTGTGTGATGTCCTGGTGGGGTACAACAAGAGAGAGAGAGAGAGAGAGAGAGAGAGAGAGAGAGAGAGAGAGAGAGAGAGAGAGAGAGAGAGAGAGAGAAGCAGAAAAAAAGAACTGGAAGAAGAGTAGGAAGAAGACAGTATTTTTGCATTTCTTCAGGTAACTTCAGTAAACATATGAGATATGAAGTGTATGTATGTCAATGGCTTCTTACATTGTCAGATAATTTGCAGATAACTTTGGCGTAACAGATATTCTTCTGCCTGTGTGGAACTGTCCACTCCAAGGGCATGAAGTGACTGTGGTACACCTGAAACCAAAGTAAATGAGAACTCTCCCTAAGAAAATGGTTTAGTCTGTACAGGGTTACTTACATTGCACGTAGTTACTACACTAAGTGCTCCGCCTTTCCACTACCCATGGATTATTTCGGGACAAGTGTAAATAACATATAATCTTTGTCACCATCATGTTGTATGTATTGTTGATACATTACGAAAGGCCCACAGCTAATTCCTCTATTCATTTTTTTTTGCAGTGAAATCTTCTTTCGATATGATGTATGAAATCTTGTCTGTTATCTGGAGCTTTTCATCAACGTACCAGTTGATCGAAGAGTTTCTCTATGGAATCTTGTCTGTTATCTGGAGCTTTTCATCAACGTACCAGTAGGTCGAAGAGTTTCTCTTGGATATCCCCTCTTCCTCAGTTCACTTGTTTCTCTTTTCAATGCCTTTTTTGTTATTCTTTGTCAGCTTCAGCTCAGAATGGGGCCAACAAAGTGTTTTTTAAAGTTGTATTCTTTCTCTTAAACTGTTGATACAGTAAACAAAAGTAAAGATCCCTTTTCACGCCTTAGGAGCATCGGGCATATGCGAAGAGCATCCCATATACAGACCAATCGGCACTAGGTGGGTATTGTGGCCAGCATTACGCCAGCCGTCTTTACTTCCCCAGGACAGATATCCTGGTACCCATTTTAGGATGGGTCGACCTGCGACGCCCCATACCATGATAAAAATCCACGCAGCGAGCAGCGGGTTTCGATCGCGGTACGTTGGAGTTACGAATCGGACTCGCAACGCCTAAGCAAGTTGTTTAATCTCCTATATGGTGTCCAAAGGGGGTGGGAGTGTGTCTGGGGAGGGGGGGTGGGTGTTGGGTAGCCGCACACACACAAACACACACACTCGCACGCACAAACACCTAATGACTTGCTAGCGGATAATTATCGTGATAATTTTAAACGCACACACAAAAAGCAGTAACTAAATTTCGTGACAATATCCACCTCGATGTCGTCCTCTCCAAACTTCTGAATGGCGGCTTCCTCGGAATAACCAACACAGCCATACTCTAGAGGAGTAAACACCGTTGTTGCGATGTTGGTGTAGTCAACCTGCGGGCAGAAATATTGCAAACATGGGAAATCCACAGGTCACGGGACAGTCTGATATTTCAGGGCGGTAGTAGATAGGCTGCAATCAGTCATTGGACCTAGGGTGCATGCAGCCGTGGGACCTAGGCTGTATACAGTCGCGGGACCTAGGCTACACTCTCTCGTGGGACGTAGGTGGGTTCGGGCTAGGGTCAGTTTTAGATGTTTTGGGGTCGTTAAAAGCGTCAGAAAACCGGGAAACACCGATTTACCACCCTCTAAAATGTTGGACTGTCCTGTGACGTCATCTGGGGGTGAGATTTAAATAAAGCACCGAAATATTAGTTAAAAAGTGAAGGACCCTCTTTCCACGCCTTGAGGCTTATTGAGTATATAGGGCTAGACCTATATTTTATAGGTCAAACGACACTTGGTGGGTAATGCGGTCAGCACCACGCCAATAGCATTTACTTCCCAGGACTGTACATGATATCCACTCAGGGCTCGGTCAACCTGGACGCCAAGATCATTTTTGAAAAAAAAAAAAAACGTCTGGCCCTGTCAGCATTCAAACCCACGACTTTCCGATCTACAGGCGAACATCTAGCCACTAGACCACTGCGACTCCCAGAAATATCAGTTTACGAAAAAGAGGGAAAAAATCAGATATTAAATATTGTGTAATATTTTGTCTAAAGGTTGGTACCCTCACACAACCCAAGCTCACACTAGGTACCTCTTCAAAACCTGACGCTGAAAGACAAAACTTGGTCTAGAGAAAAGAAGAAGATGACCCGTGAAGGGATCTCTGTGGTTAAGCTGTTTGCCTCGTGCTATGAATGTCATGGGTTCAATTCGTGGACTGTACCATTTGGTTTAAGAGAACAATTTGTAAGGTGATTCCTGAGGATTGTCCGAGGAGCTCATGTTTTGTTTGTATTATGCTCTCAACAGGCCAAGAGATAGTGACGGAGCTGTGTGGGATAAAATCCAGTGCAATGAAGTTAATATGTTGACTCTGAATTTTTTTTTTTATTGCAGATGATCTTCTAATTATGAATGTTCTTTTAAGCACTATACTGGTTTAGTCCAGAATTATGCAGACAAAAGGACATACTCTTCACCTTGCGTTTACTTTGGTGAAACAGACAGTTTTTGAATGTAGTCGATTTTGTGTTTCAGTTCAAAGGATTCATTTATTTGCTTCATGTTAATCAACTATTACTGTAGTAAACACCTGACGAAATACAATGAAAAATGCCAGGCAATAAATTGTGCAGTCTATTGTTTGTGTCTTCTTCGTTCAAATTCACAATGGGGAAACATTGTCATGATAGAATGGACTATGTTGACCCAAAACCTAGAACGTTATCAGCCTATTCCTTTTTACAGCGTCTGTAAGTGTGATGCCAAATCATTGCCTTGTTATAATCTAAACAAACTGACGTGTATTGATTGGTCTCCATCGTTATAAAATGGCTACACTTATGGGGGACCTTACAGCTCCACATGGGAAGTTAAATGTTATACAATGGCTACACTTATGGGAATCTGACAGCTCCACATGGGAAGTTAAATGTTATACAATGGCTACACTTATGGGGGACCTTACAGCTCCAAATGGGAAGTTAAATGTTATACAATGGCTACACTTATGGGAATCTGACAGCTCCACATGGGAAGTTAAATGTTATAAAATGGCTACACTTATGGGAATCTGACAGCTCCACATGGGAAGTTAAATGTTATACAATGGCTACACTTATGGAAGGACCTTATAGCTCCACACGGGTAGTGAAATGTATAAAACTGACTATATTTGTGGGAATCTGACAGCTCCACATAGGGAGTTAAATGTTATACGATGGCTGTACTTAAGGGGACCCGACAGCTACACCAAATAAAGTGCAGCTCATTTTATTATTTCAATAAATTTGGCTTACACACCCTTCCCTCTTCCGCACCAAAAAAGGCAAAAGTGGAAGCACAGTGGTTACATGCAAGGGTCTTGGGTTCGTATCTGCACCAGGATATATATTTTTCTAACTGATCCCGACGCCCAGGTCAACCCAGGCTAACATTGGCACAAGGAAATTTCAAAGGAAGAGAAGGGGGACCAGCATGATGTTGATCACAGCATCCATCGATTGATGACCGTTCTACGAAACTATGAATCTAGCGTCATAATCCTGATGCGTCAAAGGCGTAAAAATGTCTATTGCTTCAATATTTTTTTTTTTTAAACAGAAAAATTACAAGCCATGTAAATAAAAAGTTACCAAACTCCAGCTCTTTGAAAAGAGTCTTTTAGCCAGCAGTCTGCCAGCTTGGATGGCTACTGGTGTAAGTTCAGGTCTGCCAGCTCCAATATCGCCAATGGCAAAGATATTCTTCACGGTTGTCCTCTCTGCACAGTCAACGATGACCTTTTTGCTAATGGATGCAAAGGTAAAGATCACTTGTAGTTTATAACTCTTTCTGTAACAAGCAACTTATCATGTTTATGCTTGTTATCAGGACTTTTTTGTCTAGAAAAATCACATCGTTTATCTTATGCCGCTGGTCTATAAAATATCGATCAAGCCCTGTATACCCAATACGCCCGAAAGGCGTAGAAATAAGTCCTTTACTTTTATTTTTACGAAACTTAAAATATTCAGCTCTAATATAAAATCAGTTCTGTTGTAGGAAGCTGAAATAAGGGGAACAACGATAGCAAGTATCAATACACTTACTATAACAATTACTAAGAAACTAAAGTCATTTAGTGGTGCCTGTTCATAGTAGGGGGAATTAAATAGTATGAGAGATTAATTAATGTAGAGCCTTTGGAAAGTAAACACATTTCAGTGACTCAAGAGATAGGGAAAAAACGCTGGCATTGGTTAGGAAACACATTGAGAAAATGTATTTGCATTGAAACCCTAAGGTCAAATGAATAAATAGCAGAACAAATAGTCGACCTCTACTATAACACAGAGAAAGTAGACCCAACTGGCTGACAGGTTCAGACAACATCTTTTGAATGTGCAGACCGGTGCCTTGAAAACAGTACCATTGCACTTCAATTCTCACCAAGGTCCCCGCGACATGGAGATGACGGCCATTAAATCTAATCATTCATCGGCAGAGTCCGTAAGTATCTTGAGAATTGCCTTATTTTTTTTTACCTTGGGTTCTCAAAACATAGAGGACTGAACTGTCAACACAGTTTCACCTAAAATCCTCAAGTTATGACCCTTGACATTCTCGGGCTATTTATTCTTGGGCCGCACATGTCTTTTTTTTTCAACTAGCGAGGTATCAACATGGCTGCTTTCGCGAATACGTCAGTTAAGTGATTTTGTGTATTCGTATGGATTTATAACATTTATGTAACGTACTGATGAAGACTCTGTAGCCGCAACGTCCAATTCCCGTTTGTGTTTGCTATACTTTGAAGCTCACTTGGCTACTTTTCGTTCGGTAAAATAGCTTTTCATGACATCCATAGCAGAGCCAATGGGTTCCTAGTTTTATACCAATTTTCATTACGGATACATTTATAGCATAGTTAAGGTGCTCCCTGTTTCATATCTGCAGCACAGTGTACACGTATGGCGTATCTTGTTCATGCCTTAACAAAAAAATCATGTTAGGAGTTTAAGGTATACTTGATCTTCCACACAACCTCTTGTGATTTTAATTTTTTTTTTTTTTTACAGTAAAGGACTTTATCGGTTCTTCTTCCTTCGGCCTCCCCCCTCCAGGTGGTTACCTGCAGGCTTAACATCCGGAGATTATAAGATCTCAGTGTGGATGGCAGACCGGCAAAGCAAATCTCAGATACCCTGTTCAATATTCAGGAGAAGTTATAATTGGGGCCCCGGTAATGGCTACATCGAGTTGGTGTAGCCTGCTGTCTCTCTCTCTCTCTCTCTCTCTCTCTCTCTCTCTCTCTCTCTCTCTCTCTCTCTCTCTCATAACCACACATACACACACAGAAACCAACTTAATTTATTCACACAAATAAAATGGAACATACTTACCTCATTCTCACACACACATACACACACACACACACACACACAGAGAGAAACCTACTTAATTTATTCACACAAATAAAATGGAACGTACTTATCTCATTCACAAACACACACACACAAACACAAAGTGAAGTCTACTTACCATAGACAAACACACACAAACACACATAGACAAACGGGAACATACTGACCTCTCACATACACTCAATGAAACCTACTTATCACACACACCCACACAATTGCACCCACAAAACAAACAAAATGGGATCTTGTTTACCCAAATAACTCTACTAACCTCTCGTTGAGAGAGACTCCAACATTCTCCAGTCCGATGCCTTTGGTACACGGATCTCTACCAATGGCAACAAGAATCTGGGTCGGAAAATAGTTGTACTATTTCAATACTAGACCAAACAGCCTGGCAACAAGTCAGCTGATATTATCATTAGTATCGTCAAGCAGAGGTGTTTACAGAGTGTCCCTCTCGTCAAGAAACGCCTAGAGTCTCTCTTTCTCTGGATAATGCTAAAGCCCTATGTGCTTTCATAGACCATTGATAAAGAAGAAAAGAAATACGGAAATGTTAAAAGGTCAAAACATCAAGGAAGATTAGCTAATAAAAAGCATCTTTTCCCGGAAGCTGAAATATTTTAGTCGTCATATCAAGCAGTTTTAATATATTGCTGTGAATCCTGGACAATCGGTGGGCAGGCTAAACAATTTCCTGAGGCCTCAGAGATGTGGTTTTACAGAAGAATGCTTAGAATACCTTGGACAGCCAAAAAGAGTAACCAAGAGGTTTTGAGAGTGGCGGGAACCTGAAGACAACTTATCACAGACATCAGAAGGAGACAGTCATCATTTTTCGGCCATATTATGAGAAGAGGGAAAATAAACATGTTATGACGACTGGAAAGATATGTGGAAAGAGGGATAGAGGAAGACAACGAGAGAAGCTTCTTGACAGTCTTGTTGCATGCCATGGAGGTATGTCGGCACACGAGCTGATACATGCTGCAGGAGATTGCAAATTGTGAAGAGGCATGATCGCCCACGCCGTTCGGCAAGGCACGAGATAATGATGTTGTTGGCAGTTTGTGATTGTATATGTTCAGCAGTTTGTGATTGTATATTTTCAGCAGTTTGTGATTGTATATGTTCAGCAGTTTGTGATTGTATATGTTCAGCAGTTTGTGATTGTATATGTTCAGCAGTTTGTGATTGTATATTACAGCAGTTTGTGATTGTATATGTACAGCAGTTTGTGATTATATATGTTCAGCAGTTTGTGATTGTATATGTACAGCAGTTTGTGATTGTATATGTTCAGCAGTTTGTGATTGTATATTACAGCAGTTTGTGATTGTATATGTTCAGCAGTTTGTCACTGCAGTATGAACGGCCAACTCTCGATATCACTGTCGAAACCAACGCAAGACGGTCTTCAACGAAATCGCTCGCAGCTAGAACTGAAGCCAGCATTTTGTGAATTACGACAGCCATACTGTCATACTGGTCAGGGAACAGCCAGCCACTTCTGGCGACTGACCAGAGTTACTGTCTTAAAAAACAAGCAAACTAAACGATATGATGTTGTAGCTCTACATATGATTTCAACCAGGGAAAAAAATAATGATTACTACACACTTTAAATTCTATTTATTTGGTACAGACTCGTCACGTTCCAAAGAACGCAGAGAACGAAGAAGACTACTAAAAATATGGAGTGACGATGTCAAGAACAGTCTGTAAGAAATGAAGATCAACTTATACATGGTGTAGGAAGACGCTAGTTCTGGTCAGTTAGCATTCCGGTGGAGGCTAAGCTGTAATGTATGGATCAGTAGAGGCCATTTCTCTGACCATCATCATCATCATGTAGCAGGTCCTTTGCAGAACGTCACTCTCATCACAGTCTGCCTGAAAGAAACTCGGTCTCTCGCCAGTTCTCCCGCCTCATGAACTTTCACACTCAAGGAGTCACTTATATCCTGTGCCCATCTTCGTGTCGGTCGGCCCCTGCCCCTCCTTCCTGGTACCATGCCTTCTGCTATAATTTTTTCCAATCCGTCGTTGCGCTTGATGTGACCAAAACATTTCAGCTTCCAAGACAGGATGCTGTTTATTAGCCAATCTTCCTTGATGTTCAGATCTTTCAAGATGTCAGTATTTCTCCTCTTCTTTGTTCACAATATTATGAGAATCTTTCTATAACATTTCAGCTCAAAAGCCCATATTCTCTTTCTTAAGGACAGAGATAGGCCACGACTCACATCTGTATGTAGCCACAGGGAAGATGCATGCTCTCAAAATTCTAATTTTTATCTCCTTGCTGGTGCTTAACCATAGACTTTTAAGGCTGTCCAATCTTTGCATTGCTATGGCCATCCTCCTTTTAATTTCTGTCAAACAGTCTCCATCGCTGTTTATTATAGAGCCTAAATATTCAAAGTTTGTGACATTATTCCTCTTACCACAGGCCCGATAACCCCGTGCAGGGAGAACGACAATAGCAATAACAGGACAAATGAAAACAGTAATTGAAAAAAAAAAAAAAAAGGAAAGAAAGAAAACCGATGACTTACAGTGTTAAACTCTTCCACAATGTTAGTTCCTTCTGTAGTTTTGGATGTCACTTTATATGTGCCAGGTTGTCCTTCTTTAATCCGTTCGATCTGAAAATTCAATAAGCAACAACAAGAGATTAGACAATGCACAATGATAAAGCCAACAAGAGAAGATTTTATGGACAAGATAATCAACGTCATCCCCTTGTTGGAAGCAATTTTTCCTAATTTTGAAACCCCATCCTGTCTTTTGCCGGGGGCCGCAATTTAGCCTGATGGTTAAAAGCGGTTTCTGGGACCTCTCCACGGTGATCCTGATCCGCAAGGTGGCACTGTGTCACTGGGTGTTTATCGCTTGTGTGATGTCCTGGTGGGGTAAATGTACTTATTTACACTATAAAAGATAATAGTGGATATCTAGCTACCACATACATTACATTCTCAATATGTTGTGTTCTTCTTTAACATACGCATATTTTGAGTGATTCATAATCAAGTGCATTGACGACTGGCATGGGCCATCATGCTTGTCCTCAATCCGCAGTCTTCAACTGTTTAAGACAGTAATTCTGGTCAGTCGCCAGAAGTGGCTGGATGCCAGGCTGTGATATCTGTTCGTTTTTACCAAGCGACATTAAATTTCAGCAAATCCTTAATTAGTCAGCTTTAACGACATGATTGTTAATCATCATTGGGTCTGAACACACGTGGGCGTAACCAGAGTGTTCAGTAGATTACCTAACTCATACCACGATCTGGCTAAAACATCGGGCACTGCAGATTCAACGAACATTGCTATACATAAGGTATGAGCCGAACATCTCTCTGTTAGAGTCCTTGTGCTGAACAGACTCCAGAACATGTCTTGCAAGACTGTCCTCTCCTGGTGGAGCTGCGGAGCAACATCGGCCAGTAGACCTGACTACAAAACTTTGAGGAAACCTGAGAGATCTTCAGATGACTTCTCAGTGTATGGCCCACAGTGGATTAAACGCATGTACAAAGATCGCTGTAGAAGATAGCAGGATCTTAACATGCATATGAAAGGCACATGCAGTTTAAAGAAAATATTACAATTGCTCACTTTAATAGGCACGGCACCACGAATAAATTTTACTCCGTGCTTGCTCATGAAGTTGCCTATGATTTCTGCACACTGTTGATCAAAGCCCCGAAGCAGAACAGACCTGACCATCACAGTCGTGTTGAGTCCTATGCCAGCTAAGAAACCAGCACATTCCAGGGCCACATATGAAGCTCCTACACATAATGTCTTGCCAGGACAATACTCCAGGGAGAAGAGGTCATCGCTGTGGAGCAAATGCACAGTTAGGGGCAAATTAAATGTATCATTTTCTTTCAGGAAATCTCATTACCAAATTTCTTGACCCTTTCAGTGACAGGAATGTACCATACCTGATACATCAATGACATGAGAAAGAGTCGTTTTCTCATTTTGCAGTATTCACATTTTCCCCACTTCTATCATTTGTGTGTGTGTGTGTGTGTGTGTGTAATGTTGTGAATTCCCGGGGAAACCCCAGAGAGTTCCAGATGGGGAGAAAAAGGTCGGAGGACCCGTGAGAGAAGAGAAAAACGGGAGAAGTGAGTCTCGTGTGTCTCATGGTAAACGAAGTGAGAGACACAAGAAAAGCATGAGACGTGAACGGAAGACGTGAACCGAGAGACTGAAGTAAGACAGTTGAAGTTCTGCCCTGACTGAGAGAGGACGCGTGAATGAACGCCTGAGAAGAATAAATGATTTGTCAAGTGAACGTTATATTTCAATAGGAGGATTGAATGTTTTTCCATACGTTGTAATGTCAGATATCAGAGTCCATGAAGTATAGATGGATGGTTCGAGAGGCGCGGATAAATTCCTGTAGTGTGTGGGAAGTCCGTCCAGGTCGCTAGATTCGGCCAAGCAAGTCGAGCACGAGGAAGCATGAATGTATGTTTGCGATAACTGGCGATTCAACGAATAAAAGCAAAGAACTCAATATTCGTTCATGCTGTGTCGTTTCAACTCACTGTTCGTCTGAAAGCAATGTAAACAATACATGCCCCTAGATGAGCACATTACAAGTGGAGGCTCTAAAACGGACACATCCGGGACAAAAAACAACGACAGAAGATAACCGGAACATCACTGAAAACACAGCGGATTGGACCAATTGAACTCGACAGCTAATAACAGAGC